TTACGGGGTTCGTAGTGCAAAAAAAAACAACCAAAAATGTCCACAACAAAAAAGTTAGGGATGGAAAAACCCACAGGTAGAATGCGCCAAGTGCACATGCCATGGTGATAGGATGCTAAAGCATCGCTCCACTTTTTCCACCCAGTTGTCCCAAGTATCGCACACTCCAGAGTGCATGCAAGGGGATGGCATGCCCATGCATATATATATATATATTTAGAGAAAGAGAGAGAAAGAGTCTAAATCTCTCCGACATTATATAGTACATATATATATAAACTGATTGTTCACTCTTTTGGCAAAAGCGCGCAATTCTCTGCCCTGGGCCAGGGATTCTAGGGCGTGGAAGGGCAGCAGTGAAACATATGCCACAGCACATTCTATGTCTAATGGAAAAGGCAATTTCACCTTCTTACTTCGCTTAAAAAGGGCCTCAGATAGAATGTAGCGTTTTCGTGTACGCGTGGACTCAAAATTAGTCAGTTCAAATTTTCAATCGGACATTCTAACTTCCACTCCGTTGGTATACAAATTATGTAACAATTTGGCCAACACATCTCGAGAGTATTTCTTCGATGATATTAGGTGGTCTTCGATCTCGGTTTAGACTGGCCGTTCCCAAGGTGGCAGCCTGGGAACCAGGGGATCTGGAACCTCCTTCCGAGCACCCGTTGCTGCGGCGAGAGTGGGGGCCATGGGGGGATTCAGACTTGGGTCTGGGTCCTGGACTCGTGGACAGTGCTTAAAATGTTTTGAATTTCCGTTCAATTCAATCTGCTTCTTGTTGGCTTTCTTAGGCCGGCTGTTGGGATTGATCGCCCCACTGTATGATGTTGCAACAGTTCAATCATGTGGTTCCCAACCCCTCCCACGTATCAGATTTTACGCAAGAACAGATCAGACGTAGGTGCAAAATAGGGAGCCTCCGTATTGATGCTGCTGCCCCATCATCCGGGCATTTGGGATGCTCATAGATGAAAAGTGCCCCATAGTTATATCATAGCACAGCATGCCATTAGAATTGCAAAAACCAGAAAGTTGCCAACCATGACTTATCTCAGTTCATGAAGCGACAATGAGGGTAAACTGTAATATAGGGTGTAGTTCCACATGTTCCTCTAATGTTGAAATGTCTCTTGAATCCTGTTTGATGCAAAGTCGCATTCTCAGCAGGCCTTCTTCAATTGATATCTAGCCCTTTGGAGCTTGTCGAGACACGCAGTCTATATAAGACTGGCACAATTCTCGATGTGCATTTGTCATAATGTTCTGCTCTTGAAATTATACATACATATCATTACATATCATACAACGCAGACGCCTGCCATTTTCCTCAAGGCCTCATGAATTCCTGGCAGAAAATCAATGACAAACATGCCCATCCAACTGTTCAGGACCAGATTAGACCAAATATGTATATATATATATAGATTATATAAAGCAGGGTACGCCCCCTGGTATCCTTTCTGCCTTGGGTTTTGCTGTTGAAACATAGCTAACCCACAATAAATACGCCGCCGGGAATGCTTGAACAACCGCAAGTGTCACGAATCCAAACAAGTCCTGAACCACCGAGGATACGCTGACTCTGAGCTAGCATTTGCAAGTAGATTTCCGTAAAACGACGTCCTTACCATTCGGATAGTCCCAAACAGCCCGAACTTAGCTCCCAACCCTCAGGCCCATGTCGCAGCACAACGACGATCGGGCACAGTGGATGCCGGCTGGGTTGGGGTCTCAGGTGCAAATAGCCTGTTTGGCGAATGCGCATGAAGTTAAAGGCAATCTTGTTTAGACTTAAAGAAGCATTCTAGATTGATCTCGTTTGGACCAGCAAGAGGTCGTTATATGGATATACTTTCCCAAGCTTTCGTTTCAGTGGTAGTATTAGGGGGTAGGTAACTGTGTTCTTGTCAGCGTAAAAAAACACATTGAGTAGCTTCTGCTATTTCTATTTGTCGTCGTGAGGCTTTGGCATGGCGAGAGAGAGAGAGAGAGGCAAAAGAGAGACACACACACACACACACTGTGAAGCAAAGAGTTCGCAGATTACTATCAACTCGCCACTTCAGGAACCTTCGCCAGTACATGAACACCCTCGAGCCCATCATTCGGAACTCTTCCGCACAGCTCTCAATGCATGGAATTTGCGTCCGAAAGGGCCTTGGCACCTGTGCTACCTCAATAAAGTCCTTCATGTTCTGGTTTGCAGTCGATGTAGATCGATGTGGGGTTTGCAGACTTAACGCAGTGCATATGGCAATAAATATATTGCATACAGTCGGTCCACAGTAATTCAGCACTATGATTTCAGTTTTGACTCGAGGGGGGTTGCAGATCCTCGAGCAGACACAACAATAGCAGGCAATTCTAAAGCACAACAGAAGGTTAATTTGACGATGACTATACATTTTATACAGAGGGGCAAAGCCAACCAGAGAGGCACCACTACATGCGCGTTTGGAAAGGTTAGCATTCCTGTACAGTGTGCCACTGCAGATTGCATGGGACTGAAAGACCCTGGACGGATGTCATCATTTTGCATCATTGCAGTTGTTATGCTTGAGCATTTTCTAGGCATCCGCATCGCTGCAGCCCTCAAACGAGGCAAGAATCCTGGACTGAGTTCGTTGAAATTGAGATGCCTTGATGATCTTTGTATGAGCCTGTGCTTTTTCTGTTGGATCCTAATTACCGGTGACACATTGGTATGTCAACACTTTGGTACCTGCTCTAGCTTGGAGTCCGAACATGAAAGAGAGGGCATTCTCAGATGACGAAGGTGACCACTCATTCACACATGACTTACAGTACTGTAACAAAAAGAACATGACTATAACGATGGCTCATGATAGTGCTCGATTCACAGATGACTTGCAGATAGCGTGCAGATGTTGGCTGAGCATGATGGTCCTGAAGAACTTGCAGATTTACAGGTTGAACTCTTGGACACCATTCTGCCTGAGATGTTGCCACGTCGGGGAGCCCACAGTGGCGGACGACGGATGGATGCGGATGGGTTGCCCGGATCGGGGAACGAGTTCTTGTGGCGCAGATATATCGAGACGCGATTCCGATTCCTCATTGGATTAAATACCTCAATTGTAATCTTGATCATTTCTGTGCTGTTTGGACGCTGCTCCATGGCCAACATCTTACTTTATGTATTTTTATGTTACACACTGCGCATGCACATGCTTGGTGTTTCAATGTACTTGTGCCAATTTAGGGAGGTGTAGGCGGTGCGATTCTTCTGTGTGTGACACGCATGTGTCGCTTATTTCTTGCGGGATGTTGAGACGCCAGATTTGCTACTGTATAACATTTGTGATCCTAGATAATTGTTGAACTTGGGTCAGAAGGCTTTGCTGTGGATGGACAACATGCATGAACCCTCTACAGGTGACTCTGGAATGCCATTCTCAGCTATCTCACGCTGCTCCTACGCCTTCACATTATCCGGCCTTGTTATTTGGTTCTTGGTGTCACTAATGATCTTTTGACACCAACTTGAAGAAATCATTGCTTGGATCCTGAATACTTGAGGCAGTGGAATTGGCCTTGCTTGCCCAGGTTTAATTAAAAGAAGGCTTTGATTTCATGCAGCCGATAGACCTATCCACACTGATTGGAGTCCAGCACTGTCTGCACCAAGCAAATCACACCTGCTACTCTTGCGTTCGCGATAGATGCGTGAAAGGGCGACAGAAGGTTGTGAAAGTGCAACCATGATCAATTAGAACCACCACTGCCGCGAAAGCAAAGTGCCATTCGTCAAGCATCCCCTCTTAACGTAAGGCGAGTCAACTCAAAAGGAACACCGAAGGTGCACGGAAGGCTCAGTCTTGCTTTTCGATGCCCCAACAGGAACCACTGCAACCATTCACGCATAATGGAACCCCTGTGTTTTGGGTTTGGTATGTACTGAGTATTAGTTGTATTGATTCCCAAATCAGATTGCAACAGGGGAAGTCTCCTAGGAAGCCATTGCAGAACAGTTTGCAGGATATGTATATCATATATGTTTGTGTCTGTCAACGGTAACATGCCAGCTCGTTAGAACGTGCTTAGACTACTTGCCACGCCATTTTCGGTTTGGGTGAGAACAGGGAGGTCAGGCCGTTCTGTTGATCTTACCCGCTGCTCATCTTGAGGCCTCTCGCGGGACTTACGGATCCGACCAGCTCCGGTGAGCTCGATGAGATCGGTGTTTGGCTGGGTTCAAGGGCAGGTTCTTGAAGGGACATAGATTAAATTTGGAGATGGAAGTTCAGGGCAACGCTTCCTACCTTGCAGTGTGACTTGGGTGTCAGTAATTGGCCTGGAGCGGCGGATGACAACCAAAGATGGTTGACAGGAAGAGCACTTGCTTGGAGGATGCTAAAAGGCTTCAAGATGTGCAAAAAGCAAACAGTTTGTAATCTACTCTCTACAAATCCTAGCTCAGAATTGCAATATCGCGTTCAATTGGTTAACGATGAAAGCCCAAGGGTCCTTCTCGTCAGTGATATGGCTGAGGCGGCTCCACCTCCACCAGGTACCTGCTCTTCGCAGAGTGTAGTTGAGATGTTTGGCTGTAGAGGTTCCTTTTGAACGTGGGACGAGTCGGGACGAGGGACTGATTCTATACATTGAGTTGAGCATAGCTTCTTGTTTCTACTAGCTTCTTGTTACTACTGTACTAGTAAGGCACTTGTTACTAGAAGCGATGCACTTGTTCCTAGTAGCTTATTGTTTCTATAAATTAAGTTGAGCAGATTTTGAGCAAATTGCTGGTTCGAATCACGCTGCATGCATGGAGGCATGGAGGTTACAAAGTATTACAAAGTATAGAGTCTAGGCCGCGCAGGCCCCAGAGGCCGACGACCTAACCGCACTCTCCTCTGTCTCATGATACTATATGGCTCCAACGAAGGTTATTTGGAATTCGTTCGACTTCAATCTTTCTGTGGTAAGGACATGTGACATGAAGGTATAGCATACACTGGCATGTGCGGCGCAGCGTTGGGCTCATAACCATGGATTCCTTGGATTTTGCTGTTCGTCCCCCCACCGTGGGCCGAGCCATTGGCCTTGCCGGATGTGGAAACGCATCCAGTCGGGTCTCCTTGGCCTCGGCCTCTCGGAGCGGCGGAATAGCCGTAGCGGTGGCGACCCTGGCGCTGGCGCATCACACCCGTCAGAGGCGAACGGAACGAATGAAGCAGATCCAGCTGAAGGCTGAGTTGAAGGCAGCTGCAAAGGTAGCTACCTCCAGAGAGACGCCTGCACCACACGATTTGCTGCTGAGAGTAGCAAGCGGTGAGGTGGGGGACCATACTCCAGTGTGGCTCATGCGGCAAGCAGGCCGCTATATGAAAGCCTTCAGGGCGTACTCTGAAAGATACCCTTTCAGGCCAGGGCTTGAAGTTGCTTGTTGTTGAAGAGGACGTGCCAATTCACCAGTCATCCCCCCAGCCTTCTCTCAACCCTTTTGTGTTGATTCTGGTACGTGCATTTTGGGGGTATCCCATCTGTTACAATCTCAGTGTCTTGGGCTGGGATCGCACTAGAGCCTCTTTAGCAAATGAGAAGGGTTCCTTCGGTGTCAAGGCAACGCTCCGAAACGCCGGCCATGGCCACCGAGTTGTCCCTTCAGTGCTGGCGACAGATGCTTGGGCTGTGAGTATTTGTGGCCGGTGTTTGCAAAACAGAAACCTGCATATACTATAGATCGAGTGACGAGAGAGGGAGAGACACAGAGAGAAGCCGTGCGTTTGCTGAGCATGCTCACCCTTTCGGTTGGCGGTCGCCTTTTGGCCCTCCAGCTCAGGAGCCCCTAAGGCCCTAGTAGCTTCTTGTTCCTAGTAGTGACGCCAGGAGCCCCTAGTAGCTTCTTGTTCCTATAGTAGTAAGGCCAGGAGCCCCTAGTAGCGTCCTTGCTCCTAGTAGCGATGCCAGCTCTTGTTTGTCTTGGCAACTGAATTCTATCACTTGTTCATGGTTGCTTGAACGGGACCGGATGGACAGGCGTTAACAGCTACAACAGTGGGGCAACATGGAAGAGATGATGGTTTTTGGCGGGACCTCCCAATTGGAGTGTTTGCTTGTTCAAGACAGAAGCCCCGATTCTACAACACGGTGTATTTTCCTAAACTGTAAAGGCAATTCTGCAGCTCTACTGTTGCCTTCATCTACCTGCATACTACCCAAAAAGATCTTGCTCGGGGCTGATTCCGTGACCAAGGTATGGCATGGATGGTGTCATTGCGTCTTGGCCACACATTGGACAATGGTCGAAGGTCCCAAAGCAGGTAGATTCGGGCAGGTTCACGATGATTCGTGCAAAGGCACAAAATGGTGAAGATCCCATGAGAATGCTTAGGAACAAGGGGACTATTAGTAGCTCCTGAAATCGCTACTAGGAGCAAGAAGCTACTAGGAACAAAGGGCATCGCTACTAGGAGCAAGGACGCTACTAGTAGCTATCTTCATTTATTCACCGCGAACATGCTACTCAGAAGTGTTGCTGCTGCTGCTGCTGCTGCTGCGGCAGAAGCAAGTCCCAGAAGGTGTATTCAATTCCAAGGTCATGAGGCTGTGATTCGGACCCGTTTGCCGTGAGTGAAAGCCTTACGGCTTAGGTTGGATTGGTTCTGGTTTTGTCCATTGTCATCAGGGTCTTATTCTGGGGTCTCGATGCTGCACCAAGTTAACCAGTCGTCACAAGCTTTTGACGTGACTGTTGTGCAGGTCTTTTCTGACATCTTGACGCCCCTGCCAGCGATGGGTATCGAATTTGATGTGATTCGAGGGCGTGGGCCCATTGTTCTGGGCGACCTCGCAAGAACATTGAAGGAGCCTCAAGTGGAGGGGCGTGGGACAAGGAAATGACACTGCTCTGTACACTCAAGCACTAAGTAAGCACCTACACCCCTCATGATCATAATGTAGATATCGGAGGCGGAGCAATGCATGCCGAGGGTGGCATGCACGATACTGTCAGCAGCTTTCAACATTGATGTTCAGCACCTCGCAGGACCGGCTAGAAGACGGACCCAATCAAATTAGGAGCGGAGGGTGGAGGGTGGATTGGGGTATCGTCAGGGTGATTTGATACTCAAGTGCTTTTCATGCTGGCAATTTATGATGTGTATGCCTGTCCCAACCTCCAGGGCTGTGGAGAGCAGCGAGGCCTTTCTAAAGAGCCATGCGTTTGTGCAAGAGACCTTGCAGGCAAGGGTCTTGAGCTTGGTCGATGAGGATGAATCTAACCGAACCGCTCTGTATATGATACGTATGTCACATATGTCCTTAGTGCAATCTCTGCACCCAAAGCCATTATTTATAGAACCCCCGCAAGATGATGTTGGATAGCCGACTTGTTGCCAGATGCAACTCAATTTTGGCGTAGTGGAATCACCTGTAGGTTTTGCGATCCGAGACGGAGGGTAAGTGCAGCTTGCTGGGCACTGACCTTGGAGCACTGAAGGACCAGAGCGACTGCGGAAATGATGGCTGGACCAGTGTTTGGCTAGGGGTAGGTGCAGACAGTTGCTGCGTTTTTTTTTCCCTCAGTTCTGTTGGCCAGATGTACAGCATCAGCCTGGTACAGTTAACAAAAACCTAGCGAGTGCTTTCCCGTTTCCCACTGAGCATCACTCTCAGCATTGAGAGCTTTTGGTTTTAATTCAGCAACTGTTTCCCGGCACATGACTGGGGCCCAGGCTTTGTGGGCGCGCCATGGACCCTCGCAGCCTATGCCGTTGAGGAGGGCTCCTGGAAATTGAGTTGGGTGAAGATATGATTGGTTTGCCGAAGGGTCTTCCAAGCCATATTTCTACCAGGCAGAGTCAGGCAGACCAAAGCCATGGTCGCTTTTGCAATGGACAAGAATTACTATAGTAAGGGCTCCGCCCTGGTGCCGCCGACCCCCATTTTGGCCAAACGGATCCTTCCCACTCACATTCCCCTTCGGGTAGCTAGAAGAGCGCCAGTCCTGTCTGAGAAAGGACCTGGGCTCCCGGACCGTTGTCACCAGGGGTCCATAGCCAAGTCCATTGTGAGACAAAGTTGGGAATATCAAAATCATTCAAAATCTAACAAAATGGCTAAGTTGGATACCTGAACCTCCATTCCAACCACCCATCGGCTCAATCCGCTGCATCTCGCACAACAGCGCTGCATTTTCCACACCATCCGTGGGAAACTCAGCTGAACTCCGCGGAAGCGAGCTTGTTTGTCAGCCTCAGATATCACATGTGCAGCCCTAACAACATGTCGGGGAAGCTTCGGGAAACCTTTGGGCTCAAAAGACTATTTTGCACTTCTCAGCCAGGGGGCCCAGTGAACCAACGCATGGGCGCAATATGCTCCAGTCCTTGCTTTTGCGATACTGCGCAGCACTGCTTAATTCGCCCAATCCAATCCTCTGTAATGTAGTCCCTTGATTTATAAACCCCCCCCCCCCCCCC